TTTTTTTTTTTTTTTTTTTTTTTTTTTTTTTTTTTTTTTTGGTTACTGAAAATAGGAAAAATTTAAGCAAATCATTCTAAAGCCCATTCTATTTATGCATTGTGCACATTATTGAAGGTCAGTGGCTCTAAGCTAGCTAGGAATACATTCAAGTTAGTAGCTAGATTATTTTCGATTCTCTAGAGGCCTTGTTTTCTTTATAAGCTGTTATTAAGATTGTTTTCTGCAGAAGTACTTTATATATTGATGGTTTCTGTGATGTGCAATGCAATATGTTTGTGAACCATTTGTAATTCTTTTTCCACCATTTTTTGCTATTTATATCATATCCATTTGGGAAAGTTCTTGTTTATGTGTAAGGTGGTCTCAAACTTTACGTGTATATTAGCAACCTGGCGAGCCTAATCCTTCATCCAGTTACACTATATTGCCAACAATTGGAACGTCTCATATATTTAATTGATTACTTACTTTAAAAATTGAATTTATGCTGTTGGGAATATCAATGTACTGATTAAATTATTGTCTTGGATTTAATAATGACTCTGTTTAGTAGAGATGGGGTTTTTTTTAATAATAATTTATCTATTAAATTTCTTTGCTGAATTGTTGCTTACTCTAATGTTATGCAAGTTATCTTGCTAAACAGACTGCTGGAACAGTTTACTGTAGTTGAGCAAGAGAGATTCGAGGTAAATATTATACGCCCTTTCATGATGAATATCATATACAACTGTTGGGTGGAGTTAGTGTACGATAAATGTTCTTTTTAATCTACATGTTTCCTTTTCTGGACAATTCTCCAGAATTTTCTTTTATTATATCGCAAGCATCAGTCATAAAATAAGCATGAACATTTGAACCTAGCCGATTATAATGAAGATATCAAACAGACCTTAAGATTTCTGGAAAATGAAGTGTGCATGCTGGTGCGGTTCCAATTATTTTTTGTTTTGCATAGTCTTCTCTTCGCATAAATACGCTTGTTTTAATCACCACAAACTAGACAAAGCTGGTTTCTTTTGGTATGGAATAATCTGCTACTCTACCACAGTTTGTCGATTGAAAGATAATTAGCAACCATACACCATTTTCTTGATGCAAAATAAGAAACATCTTCCTGGTTGGTGTAGGGCGTCTTTTTGCTAGCGTAGTTGTAGTCTGCTGCAACCATCAAAAGAACAAGATTGAAATAGTGACCCTGGAAAAGTTCATTTGTATTCATGTAGAACATTTATGAATTTTTTTCATAATTGTACCCTAGTTTTGTAGCTCTTTCTGGTGCCTCATGGTCTTGTGGCTGTGGCTGGCTGAGCTGAAGGTCGATAGGTATGCCTGCATCCTCTCCAACACTAAGTCCGTTTGTAAGACTGCTTATGTGTGCTCCATTGGCATCCTTTGTTCCATAGACCTAGGATGGTGTAAATTTTGTTTTCAGGGTAACTAAGCAACACAAAGTTTTATTGGTTTAAAAATTTAATCCTTTAGTTTCTTTTCGGGAATATTTAAGTTGTTCCAGTTATCTACATCTGTACCTTTTTGTGTAATTCCAGATTTTCTTGACGAATTAGGTTTACCTTCTTATAAAGTTCCGTATTGTCTTGGTGAATTAGGTTTACCTGTATCAAAAAGAAGGATATTTAGCAACCAAATTAATTGAGAACAGGAATTTCAGAGCCGTAGTTCCTTAACCTTTCTATTTAGGTCTTGTATCTCATCCATTAAGATTTTTTCCTGCTCAAAGAAGCGAAAAAGTTCAGTAAAACACCAAATGCATTTAACAAATGCATTTAACAATTGATATAGTTAGATACCTTCTTCATACGGATGCCACGGAGACTTATCTCCAATTGATTTTCTAGATTCTGTAGATCTTTGGCGCTTAGACCAGTCAGCTCTTCACCCATCATTTGCCTGTAATTATTATCTATTAGTGATGTTTTGAACTTTTCTAAGTTTCATTTTCTCTCAGTTTGGGTATCAGCTTTAACTTGAGCAACATGTGGAAGTATGTTAGGAAATATACATTTGGATCATGCTTTTATCAAGTAACATGTAACGACATAGAATAGAATAGAATACGTTAGTACCGATGATTTTCATGTAAGCTCTGCAGTTGCTGCCGTAACATTGCTGCTTCCCTTTGCCAATACTACTGATTAAAAATCAGAATATAATTTCCTTTCTATTTAGAAATATAGGAGTATGCCTTCTATATACAGCCGCAGAAATGTATTAAGCTAGCAGAGTATATCGAGAAGCATTTCTGAAAATGAAGGTAGTTAACATGATAATTGTTGACGTTTAAGACTGATGTTATTGTTCAAACACATTTCTATCACTATATGTACAAAGAATAGTTATTGAATGCATCAATATTCAAATACAATAGCATGAACAAAAAAAAAAAAAAACACTAGAGAGAACCTTTTTTCTATATTGTTTTCTTTTTTTTATCTAAGAGCTGCTGAATGCAGCCAGAGAGGAGAAGGGGAAAGAAAAGAGAGCGACCATTGAAGAGTGATGGAATCAATTGACGAATGGTAACAAGCAATTGGCGAAGGGATGATGACAGGCGGTGGCAAGCAATGAAGGCTGGGAGGAAAGGAGGAGAAGGGCAGTGGACCCAAGAGCTGTTGAACGAGGCAAGAGAGAAGAAATGAGGGTAAAAAAAAAGACTGGCAAATGGTGACGGAAACGACCAACAAACCGACCGGCAAACAACAAAGGGACAAAAAGCGGCGGATGCTGTGCCATGCAAGGGGGACTTTAAGGTTTGTCATTTCATTATAACAAACAAAAAATAAAAATACATTTTTCAGGTTTGTCATATTGCTATTTTATGCGAACTGCTCTTTATTTTATCTTTCTGGACTTAGATGCTGAATCATCTGTTTGATTTTGTTCGGCCACATCGCTCAAGAATCCCAGATTCATGCTCTCACGACTGTTGTTTAGGATCTTTCTTTCAGCATGTCAGGTAAATAGAAGGTTTGTGTAACATCTCTTTTACGCAAAATAATTTGCATATATAATTTTAATGTTTGTCTCAATGAAGTATAAATATGTTCCTATCACCTTGACAGTAGTATCGATGGGTACTAATACGTCCAAATTCACAATCATTCTGGATGCAACTAGCAAAGCCAGTAATTCACTAGGTCTGTTCTTATCTCTAGTCAAATTTCTAAACCCTCCTCTCCTCCCCACCCCCACATTCCACAACATACTCGTACTAGCAATAACTGTGATGTGTAATACCTATTAGTCATCATCGTATCAGAATCTTTACTAATAGGAAATCTAGAAATTTGTGTTTCAACAATCATACCTGATTCTTTGCCTAATATATGTCCGGCAGCCAGAGGAAAGGAAAAATAATAGTTCTTGTGCTAAAGAATACCTTGACTTCAGAAGTCGAGTTCCCAAGCTGATGGTGCTCCTCTTTTGTTTTATTATATCGTTCTATTAGTGTTTTCATGCTGGGAATACAATCAATAATCCATGAGTTAGAGATGGAAGTCCTCTTCCTATTTCACAAATGGATTATCATAGAAAAACATAATATTATATTTGCAAGAAATGAAAATTTATTGGGAAGACATGGAAAGTTGAAAATTAAACAATTACCTTGCGAGCATTATCAATAGGATGACCCTATTTACTCTTGGTTCCTTTTATTCTAGTTTTCCCAGATAGACCTAAACTCTTAATCTCATAAATTAGGCTCTTTACCTTTTCAAGATTCTCCTCAGAATTCTATGGAAGAACTTCAAATTTTCTGGTAGGTAGAATGAAATTTGTAGTCTCATGACAACATTAGAGGGGTGGTAAATAAGGTTGCCTAACAATTGAACAAATCTTTTCATTAAAGAAAAAACTGAATTAAATCCAATGGCCAGTTTATCCTACGATATCCAAAGTTGAATTCAAACAAATAAATTTTAACAAGTTCACCTATTATGCAATATTCAGAACTATGTTCAAAACACTACATGGTCAGCAATAAAATTTACAATCTATCAATGAATTCATATTAGAGTATGAACTGCAATTAAATTGAAGAGGTGGGATAGAGAGTTTAAACACAAATTTGCGACGTATGATGAAACCTAATTCTTAATGTATCGCTATGAATATTTTAGTGCCAGCCAGTTCTTCTTTTGTTGCCTAACTTATTGCATGGAGATATAGGTTAGCGAATGGGGCGTTGATAATTGAATATGTTGTTTTTTCTAATCTGTAGAGGCATGCATCATGCACTTAAAATGTCTTTCAGTTGAATGATGCAAATTTTAGGTATCTACATTATGGAGTGTCACGTTGCTCTAAGTAAAGGATTCCTTGCACTCATCGGTCAGGTATGCCTACATATTCTTAAATCTTCCGTGTGTTAGTTGTATGATTTAAACCCTAGAATGTTTTATTTGAGTTAACGTAAAAATTTATGGTGCACTCTTTTACCCTCTTTGTTTTTCTAATCATCTTGCTAGTTACAGAAACAGAGAATTTCATTAAACTGAAAACATGACCAAAAAAAGTAAAATAAAGATACGAGTATCTCGTAGAAAATTATGATTATAAGGTTTACTGGGGGAATCCTCTGTTTTACTTGGGAATAAAATTTCATCAACGAGATAGAACTATTGGCAAAAGCTAAAGGAGTTGCAAGAATCTTCCATTGGCACAAACCACTCAGAACCATGACCCAATAAAGAACAAGAAAATAGAAAAAAAAGACTCATAAAACGAAAAACACTCTAGCAAACAAAACAAAGTGAAACTTGCAAAGAAAGAGTCTAAATAACCAAACGCAACCTCAATGGCCGCCCTCAGGAAACCAAGCCAAAGACAACTCCTGAGAACCATAGAACTCTGAAACAAAAGGCCCGAAAACAGAGCCAAATAGAAAAATAGAGGAAAAACTAAGATTCCTCAACCAAATAGAAAAACCATCAAGGAGAAAAGCAAAATTGAGCCCCATAACACCTTATCTACAATGCGCAGAAAATGGTCTTAATGGCATTGAGCCTCATTCATTCTTATGTAAAAAAATGTTTTCCTCAAAGCTTCTTACTTAGGAAGTCAAAGAAATAGGAAATAATATAAAGATCCTCAAGATGTGATTTGTACGAAAGGAACCAGGTGTACAACTTTCGAGCTCTCCTATCCATCCTTACCCTTACCAGTTAGCATACAAACATCAAACATACCCATAAGAGAAATTCACACCTTGACTTCTTCATATGAAGGTTTCTTCCTAAGATAATAGATTAAGATTTCAAGTCAGGCTAAGGGATATAGTCTTAAAACCTCTTGTTACCAAAAGGCCCAGTCTTAGGAAATCTTCACAAAAATAAACCAAATCCCTCTCATTGGTTCATTAAAGGTCTAAACGGTTGATGATGAAAGTCCCACATCGGCTAATTTAGGGAATGGTCATGGGTTTATAAACAAAGAATACTCTCTCCATTAGTACGAGGCCTTTTGGGGAAGCCCAAAGAAAAGTCATGAGAGCTTATGCTCAAAGTGAACAAGATCATACCATTGTGGAGAGTCGTGTTCGTCTAACATAAACAATTACCGTTAACTCTAGCAATTCGGAGATGGTAAATAAAGAAATTCATAATTCATAACGTCGTGAATGGATTCATCTGCAATTTTAAAGGGCATATAAAAAAAAGCAGCCAAAGAAGAGGAGTCAAAACAAAACCTGAACCAATTACATGGGGCCCTATACAATATTTACAACAGTTCTTAGAAACACTAATCAAAACGGAGGCATTAAACTTGGTGAGAGGCCTAATTTCTTCCTATGGCCTACGCCTCAGAAAAGTTTTCCTACTCCTCTCAAGTTAAAATGCCCCATAAAATGGAAAAACAAGCAACGCACTAAAGATATCGTCTCTTAAACCCAATAAACAAAATTCTTATCATTATACAATAATTCGGTTACAAGCCAAGCCAAAACCAAAGGACTCCTAAAGAACTATATAAAATGGCCAAAGTATATGATTTAGATCCTCAAGTACTTATCTTTAAAGAATCCACCACTACGACCCCAACGATATGGACGAATTCCTCTTCATATGGTCCGTAGTGCTAACTCTAGTTCCAACTTCCACAATTAAGCGAATAGAGAGTGCCTAGACGAATGGAGACCCGATCAAAAATGGAAGAAGAGCTAAATTAAAGCTCCCAAGACGGGTTGGAGGTCAAAGACAAACGTAGAAATCGCTTGTTTTCTTATCCAACAACCTGATATTATGGTTATCTAAACAACCTGATATAGAAAAGCCAATGAGAGGTTCACTGTTTTTCAAACAATTGGAAGGGAACCTCCCCCAAATTTTGCTCTTCCTAAGAGACGTTCCTGAAGATCTATAACACCTAATTTAATTTAAAATAGAAAACTGCTCTCCAGAAAAGCATGTTTTGACTTGTTGAAGTTGTTAGATGATAGTTTTTTTTTATTTGATAAGAGTTAGGTTTTCAGTTTTTTCTGTTTTCTAAAATCATATTCTTTGTTAGTTTAGAAATATATCATTCATCGAAATGTTAGAATATAAACACCCATTATAATATGTTGAACTGAATGTCATATTTCCTTGTCAACTTTTTTTTTTTTTTTTTAAATTTTTATTTTATTTTATTTTTATTCTTTAAAACACTAAGGCAAATATGAACAAGTCAATATATATACTAAACTAAAAAAATGATAAAAATTGTATTTAAAAAAACTGACAACCTTTAGGCCATACATTTTGAATTTTTTTTAAGATTCACTTTTTTTTATCGAAAAGATGATTCATATTCAAGTGTTTTATAATTTTGTACTTGGCAAGTTATTTATTCATATTCAAGTGTTTTTTTTAAATAATAGTTTATTTTCAACTAGATAAAATGTTATGTGTGTGTATATACACACACACATGATAATAGAACATGATTGTTTACTTTTACTTTTTTTTTTAAAAAAGAAAATTCAATGTATTTTTCTTTTTAACTTTTTATTGTGTTTATTCTTTTTAAGAATAAATAGTAATTTGTTTATTTGCTATATATTTTTAGATGCGGGTCCAACTTATTAAATTTAAACATTGAACTATTAAACCATAAACCATTTTTTTCTCAATTAATACCATGGCGATGAGTATCCACCATTTTTATTAATTAATTTTAATATTTAGTTATGGTTAAGACCTGATTAAAAGAACCTAACTCATAAAGCATGAAATGAAATTTAGACACTTGGAATTTATGTAGCTCTAGCTTTTCTTGGTGAAAAATATTATGTGATCTTTCCTTTAATTGTATCATGTAATGATGTGATATTATGTGATCTTTCCTTAAGTCAATCTGAATTGTTATCTTTTTCATTTCTGTGAATATTTGAGAAATTTTAAACAGCGTATATACTTTTAAAAAAAAAATTATAATTCAATTTCATGATTACTTTTAAAAATGATTTAACTTGATGATGAATTTATTTTTATATTTTATTTCTTATTTTCATTGTAGGATATTTTTTTTCCATTGTTTTTAGCCTTTTGTCTTCTTTTCTGAAAAATAAATTTGTTTGAAATTATAAAAAAAAAAAGGTTTGAAAAACACAATGAAGCAAGTTTTCGTAAGCAGACTTTTTTTTATATATGTTCTCATTTTCTTTTTCTTCTCTTAATTCTCTGTCTATGTTTGGTTTCGCTCTCTTTACTTTTTCTATATCTATCTCTATACTTTTTTTTCATTCTAATTTTTCTCTTCTAAATTGTTTGTCCTTATTTATATCTCTTCTCTACTTGAAAGTGATCTAAAATTTTCCCCCCAAGTTTGATTTCTCTCTCTAACATATGACTTCTTTCTTTTTTAACCGTTTTTACTGAACTAAGACTTTGCTAGAATCATTTGATTTTATATTTTTTGTTTTTAAAAATTAAGCCTACAAACTCTTGTATCTATAATTTTTTCTTTTTTGCTTATCTACTTTGATCGAAGTTTAAGTTTTGAAAACTTTTAAAATATTTATTTTGTTTTTGGAATTAGATTTAAAGAATTCAAATGTAATTGAAATTGTGAGGAAGTTATTAAATTATTTATTTCTTTTGTTTTTAAAAAGAGACCATAACTAGGAAATAGAAATATTTATTTCCAATTCATTAGCTGTTATGAGGATATGAGAAGCTTTTAGAATAGCCGTTACTAATGGGAAGAGTGAAGCCATTTATTATAGATACAGGCCTATGATTTTAGGAAGCTGTATTGGGAAGAAGTGGTTTCAAATGTTTTTTCTCCTCATTTCGTCTATTTGTTTTATCAAGGAGAATAACCTATTTTTTGGTTATATGGTACGTGTAGTAATTGGTTGTTGATTTCTCTTTTTCCTTCTTTAGATAATAGATCTTTTTCCCCATTTAGATTTTTGTAACTTGTAACTCGGCACTTCCAAGGATCTTTTCTATTTAATACATTTTGTAGAATTATTTTATACCTTTTTAATGAATTGTAAAGGTTTAAGGCCTTGGAGAACAAGTTTACATCTCTTTACAATATGTTCAAATCGGTTGGAAAATGTAGCGCGGATCATTTAATTTATTTAGGTTGAGTTTTTAAAGTTTTGCTGATATTTAATCATAAATCTAATATTGCTTTTAAAGTTTTTTTATACTATCGTTTTAAAATATGAATTTAAATTATTGATTTAAAAGTGCATATGCATTGAAAGAAAATAGAATTTATATCAAATGATAAACAAAATAATCAAAGTTTTAATGTCCTTACTATTATATCACAAGAAAAAAAAAATACAAGACAGGAACTTAAAAATAATCGCAATAAAATGAGATGCAATGATTAGTTTCTACGTTTTCTGCATGTTACTTCTAATAAACTTTAAAATGTATTATGATAATAATATCATACATTCATTAGTTAAATTATGTGTTAAGTCTTCACCTTTACGTTTGTGTTTACTTGGTTGTTAAATTTTTTTAATTATTTAATGAAATTTTAAAATCCCTAAAGTTTTCATTTTATTTTAATACAACCTAACTAAAGTTTAAAGTTTAATTAGAATCCTATTAGAAATAGGATTTACTTTTATATTTAATAAATTCATTAAGTCTTCACCTATACATTTTTAAGTTATTCATAGACACAGATTTAATGGTTTAAATTTGTAATTTAATATTTTTCATTAATTTTTTAGCTTATATTCAAATTTTCTAACTGTATTTTACTATTTCCGGAGATTCTCTCTTAAAAATAATTCTCTTAAAAGTTATCTAAAACGTTTTATTTAAAAAAAAAAAAAAACGAATGTAGTTTCTCTTTAGTCATTAAAACTCTAGAGGTGAAAGTTTTTCTCATGTTAAAAGACTAACATAACTTCACTCGTCTCCAAATATCAACATTTAGACGTGGGTTTATGGTATATTCTTCTATCTTCCTACTTAGAAACTACTCATTCTTAAATGTTCTCAAGTCTAACACCTAAAAGAGAGATAAAAGGTGGTGATGGTGAGGAAGATTGATATAAATTTATTTATAATATTCCTAAGATTCCAAATTGTTTTCCAAAAAAAATATATATTGTTTGGACATTGACCAATCAATAATCCAACTTTCTTCCGGAAATTAGAAAAAAAAAAACCGGAAGTTTGATTAAATTTTTGCATATTTGTGCAAAATTATTATTGGGAGCTGGAAAGTAGGTTGGACAGCTCAACAT